ACTATTTTACCTACTCAGGATTTCTACTATGCAGATCTTCTGTTTGTAAATCCTATTAAGATTTATTCATATAATATTACATCTCTCTAAACACCTTATTATACTTTTAATATTCAAATAATATTGATGCAATATAATTTACAAAGTTATAACTCTAGAAATAAACAGAGTTTACTGTAAGTTAGATATAAAGGTTTAGGTAATTATTCAAATTTGTTGATAGTAGGATTTGAATCCCAGACCTTTTGCATAGCAGTCTGGTAACCTAACCACTACACTAAGATCACCAGATCAAAAATTAACTTTTTTGTAAAAAATACATATTTTTATAGCAAAACAAAAAATGATAAACTTATTATAAGTCTTATTAAATTTTTTTTTGTAGTACTCAACTTGATGTTTCTGAGTTAGTGCTGCAAATTTTAATTTTTTATATATCAGATCAAAAAAGCAAGTGAGAAGCATATCACTATTAGATAAGTCTCAATAGTGTAAAAATATATTGTATAATGTGTTTTTAATTTTTTGTTTTATATTTTTAGTATTAGTAGATATATTTATTTTGATCTTTCTTTTTTTAGAACCTTCTTTTTCTTCTTCTTCAGTGTTATTGAATCTAATATTATCATCAAACACTAGGTTATCTGTTTTAAAATCTACTTCACTTAATTCTTTGTCAGAATAATTACTTAGATTTCTCATTAATGCAAAAATAGATAGGAGAATATAAGAAATTGTAATATACTTGGAACCACTAAGCTCCTCTGTAGTTTCAAAGAAAGGTTCTAAAATATCAACAAGATCTCTTATTAAATCCTATTCATCTTCAGTTAATTGAATTTCTTTTAATCTTTTTGCATCTCTTCAGGTTTCTGAGACATTAGAAATAGTTAATATTGTTATGACAATATCAATTGCATCTTTAATTAGTATAAGATATTCTTAAACTAAAAAAGACGAATTTCAATAAGTAGGTATATTTATTTTTATATAAAGATAAGTAGAAGTTTTTTTAATTACCTATTATAAAAAGATAATTTAGTTATTTGTACAGAGAATTAATTAAAAAATTATATTTCATTGTTATCTGAAATCTTTAATATTTTTTGAGCTTCTTTGAGTTATTTATTTTGCTTTGATGCTATAAAGAAGTTAATCAACTGTTTAGCCCTTACTACAAGTACTTCAGCAAGCATTAGGTCTTTTCTGATAACAAGTTACAAAGTGTAAGCTATATACAGAATTCTTATAATATCAATTATTTTAGTACATACTGCTTTCATGTTACTTTTATTGTTACTTGTGATCATATATACCTTTTTGATAAGACCCCAATTAGCAATTATATTTTCTAATATTTCTTGAATAATATCAGCAATATGTAAATATCTAATATAAGTTAAGGAAAGTAATATTTCATAGATTTTAAATTCAAAGTTAATTTATGAACAGATAATGCTAAGGTATCCTTGTCTATTATGACTTGTCTATAGGTTAGTAATAAGTAAACAAGTTATGATAGTATTTTGTAAATTTTTTAATATATTTTGAGCATACTAATTATACAATTTATGAATTATTTGTTTTATGCTTTTTTCATTGAGTATATTAAATATTGGATCTAATTTCTTCATGAACTCACAAAAAGATTAGTATGATGCAAGACTAATTAGTTGAGTACTACAAAAAAAAATTTAATAAGACTTATAATAAGTTTATCATTTTTTGTTTTGCTATAAAA